GTATTTTTTGTTCGTTACATGAATTTTTGGTGCTCGATATATTTGTCACGTGATGTCCGAAACTTTTTTGGGTGGCGGTCGGCTAAAACCTTAAAAAATTTTCTATTTTTTGTAATCAAAAAAAAAAAAAAATTAAATTCCGGCCAAAATTATGCATAATGCGGGCCAAAATTTTGTCGATCACAGCCGTTGGCCAATCAAAATCGAGGATCAACTGTGGCACCTAGGTTTAATGAATCCCGCGCGGGATGCTCATCATGCGCGGGATCCGCACGTGACGCGTGGGATTTTTGGAAAAACCGCGATTTGCCCATCTCTAATCACCACCCTAAAAAATTTCGCGGGTGATCTATAGTACAGGTGGGCAAATTCTGATCCCGTACGGATCTAACCCGATTAATTTTTAATTATTTACTATTGCATATTTCATAAACTCAATCATAACGATAAACTGTTTCGATCTAATTTTTAGATCTTTATAACCCGTCTCAATCTATTAATTTTTAGATTTATACCCTGTCTCAATCTAATGCTAATTTCTAGATTTAGAACACGTCTCAATCTAACTCTAATGTCTAGCCTATAACCTGCCTCAATCTAATGCTAGTTTCTACCTCTATAACCTGTCTCAATTTAATTTCTAGATCCAAACATAAAAACGAATCTTGAACTAAAGCCAATTCCAAGACTTAAGTTCAAACTAGATCTAAAACTTTAATGTAATACGTACATAAATCAGATCTAAATTGAGTTATCATGTCAAGTAACGGTAAGCCTGTTCTTATTAATGTGTGTTTTTTTTAAAAAAAATAGCTTATACTGTTGTTAAATTAGGGCGCTGTTAGTTGTGAATAATGAATCTGTTTTTTATAACGTTCACATTTAACTAATTAAAAATAGAAAAAAGAAGTACTTGAGGAACAGTATCCCATTCTTTGGTAAAAACAATCCCCTTGAGATAAATAATCCAGCTTTGATCCTGACCTTGACCTCCTAATAAGCAGAATTCACGTTGGAACGTGTAAAGTGAAAGGTTTCTTGTACGTATTAGTTACTTTCAAAAATTAACTGTATTTATAAAATTGTATACAAGTTATATAAAACGTAGCAACTTATTATAACAATTTATTATTATTTATATAGAATGCAATAAAGAAGTTGAATAGTTTTGTAAGTGACTTCAAATCAACTAGATTGAGACAGCTATTCGAATCTTTTCCTGACTTGAAACTAATGCTTACCCATTTCAAAGAAGCCTTCAATTATGAAAAGGTATATAAAGAAGGTAATATGCTTTTTTACACTATATACATTATTATTTATATTATTGCTAATACACTTATATCATATTTATTAGGCAACCTATTACTATTTACCCAAAATAGAATTTGTAGGTTATGCTTCCTGAAGTCTTATTAGGTCAGGAATGTGTACCAACGGCCGATATGACAGAGGTAACTACTGAAATGCGTTCATTTTATGATGTTCATTTGATATTGAACTTGTATTAAAAATTTGCTGTAGAAAAGAACCTGACTTTGCTTTGAAATTTTAAGTGATAAATCGAATTGGCAAAATTGTGCATGTATCCAAATTCACAACAATGACCTACTGCTAAAATAATTGATTATATGCTTCTGAATAGCATAGCTTTGTAAATTAACCTGAGTAAGTTATTTGTTAAAATTTGTAGTTTTCTTTTCTTTTTTTTGAAGCTTATTTAATTTCATTTGATTGTATTAATTTAGGTAAGTGGAAAGAAAGTGTGATGCTCTATACATTTAAAATTAGCTATTCGCTTCTTGAATATTTATTACTTAATTTTATTTGATCGAGTTAATTTAGGTGATAGAAAAGAAATATTAATACTATGTGTTTAAAATAAGCTATTCGCTTTTTGAATATTTACCATTTAAATTTCGTTTAATTGTGTTAATTTAGGCGAGTAGAAAAAAGAATTCAATGGTTTATGTGTTTAAAATAAGTTATTCCTTTTCTGTATTTTAATTATTATTAGCTACCTATATTATATTGTATATACAGGTTACCCCCGTTAATATCAACCTCGTTGATATCAACCTATGCCACAAAACAAATTTTTATAAATTTTTATATATCAAAATTCCCTCATATATATCAACTTTAATATGATTTCTCGTTAATATCACTAACAACATAATTTAAAACCAATTCAAATAGGTTGATATTAACGAGGGTAACCTGTATCATGTTTTGATTTACTTAATACATTAGTTTAACTGTAGTATATTTAAGTATTAATTTTTGTGATCCAAATAAGTTTTACACTTACGCTTATTAGTGGTTGTACGTCAAAATAGTGAATCAATTTTAACCATATAATGATTTATTATTCTTAACTAGATCTAGAGATGAACCCAATTTATCGATATATAAGAAATAATTCGAATTTTACTAATTGTACAAAATTATCCAATTATTAGTTCTTAATTAAATTAATTTTAATTAATATATTATATGTATAAGCACAAAATAAAATTATGTACAGTGCAAGAAATCTAAAAACCTCAATCATTTTATATAGAGCAAAAAAGTGTCTAGCGCATTGGAGATAAGCTAAATTAAGTAGCGGCTTATTTTAAGTTTCAGCCGTATGCATAAAACAACTCCAATTAAGTGTATATCTTTTTTGGCATATTATTTCTATGCCCATTGCTCTATTGAAATTGATAATTAAGAATTATTTTCAATGAGCTACTAGTTTATGCGTCATCTTAACATGGAGTTGAGGTTTTTAGATTTTCTGCATTGATTTTTTGTATTGAGTAATCTATTGGTCATTGCATTGATTTTTTGCATTGAATTCACACATTATTTTTCAACCGATTTGGATGCGAAAAATTAAAATGATAATTATTGTGTAAATATGTAATAACTACTGTTACTAATAATAAAATATCATGAAAAATGTAATAATAAATTATATCCTGAATTTTGTAATTTCGTCTAAGTAAAGATTCAATAATGTTTTCGTCCTCTACACTCTCTATACCCTCATTAAAATCTCTTCTAAACATTCTGTTTGACGAACAAAATTGCATCAATTTTTTGTTCGACAAATATTTTGTATAAACCTGTAAAATACAAGCATTGTGATTCTACACTATATCGAGAAAGGCAACTTTTTAGATGTTCTAGCAGATCATGTTGCAAATCTGTATCGATTCTTAAAGATTTCTTTTTTGCTTACAACCACCTCAAATGTTCGAATACACTCCTAATAGGTTATTTGTGGCTCTGCAAATTTACTTATACTTCTATTCGTAACATGACAGGTAAATTACAATTACCATTATGCATAATGATAATAAATTAAAAATTTATTAAATTTATATGTAATTAACAGGTTGTTTGCCAAATACAGTTAGTAATTACATAAGTCTTTTTAGGCAATTAATAATTAGTA